CCTCCCAGTTCAACAAATGGCCACTGTAATTGCAATACAAGATCGGCCCTTCACCATTTTTTGTTCTCCTTTTGTTTCCACTTGTTTTTCTCGTAGTTAACATCTTCTGTCACTTTCAAAATCACTCCTCATTGTTAATTTGAACAATATCCAACACCTTCTTCAATTCTCAGTTCTTTATTAAAAATGGAACCAAAAGCCACAATTTCAAGAACATGAGCACCCCGTTTCCATCTCCATCTCCGTCTCCGTCTCCACCTCCGTTTTGTTGGTGAAGTAATAAAATAAATTTTTAGGTTTTAAACTCAACCGGGCATGGCCAAAACTAGCAAGCAGGCAACAACTTTGTGAAATGATACTACTCCTTCCGTCCCATAAAAACAATCACGTTTTCCTTTTTCGTTTGTCTTAAATTATAGTCTTATTTTTTATTTGACAGTGTAGTTAATATACTAATTTCCTAATATGCCCCTATTTAATGTGCTTTGTTATCACAAATATAAACTATTCCATTATTCAATTATAATTGGAACAATAAATTAAAAAAAAGTCATTTCAGCTTCCATGACATTTATTCATTTGTATTGGATGACTTTGGAATATTAATTACCTTCATTCTTGCATTATACAATGATTAGTATCAAGAATAGTTTAATTATCTTGAATATTGATTGCATTAATGTAAGGTATATTAGGAAAAATGATAATAAAATTTATTATTTCAACTATATTAACTAAATTTCTTAATTTGTGTGAAAAAAAGGAATATGACTATTTTTATGGGACGGAGCAAATATGATTTTAGGTATCAATTAATTAGGAAGAAGAATAGACGGTAAATAACAATAGAGAAACTTCCAGTTGTTTAGTTCTTGCTTGGAATTTTGGATTTTAATGGGATTATTTTATGTGTGTGTGTGTGATTTTTATGTTTTAATGCATTTATAAATTGATTGAACAATTTTTTAATATTTTTTAATTAAATATTAAACCCTTGTTTGAGCTCCTTTTTCTCATCAAAATATATTTTTGATCAGTAATTTGATCATATTTCAACCACACATTTTCGATAAAATAATATTACACAAAAACCTAAATTCTTTCCTTATTTTTTAACTACACATTCTCCATCATAACACTATTACAAAATGCATTTTTTGAAAAAAAAATGGGGTTCAAACAAGTCCTAATTAAAGAAATCGCTATTGTGAACATT